ATGATGATAAATGCTATGGAAAGAAGAAGGAAGAAATAAAAATTTGGGTCAGAGGAAGACAGAAGTTTATGAATTTGAGTGTTCATACACAATACTACACACCATTGAGGTTTGGAGAAAAGTTTGAAAGAAGAGAGTGACAGTGTATATCTGAAGGAAGAGCTTTGTAAGTACTACAAATAGCATGTACAACATCTTGGACTGGGAGCATCTTTGTCCCGTGAAGGAATAGCAAGAAGGCAGCAACATGCAGCGGGAGGTGAGGTGCAGAAGAGGTTAGGTTGCCTGGTGGTTGCTGCTACTGCGGTTTCATCACTTGAAAAAGCAAGCGACGCCCTGTGCTCGAAAAGGTTAAAATCAGCTCTAGTTTTGTATCGTGGTCAAGGTAAATTATACTTGCCTGTGCTCTGGTTACATATTGCTACTTATAAATACATCAAAATTTAGTGACTTGAAATAAAAATTATTTTATTGTAGTTATATAATATAGTGTTATACATACAGTGATTTCATTACTGTGTCAGTCAGAAACTTGGGTTAGGCTTGACTGGGTGATGCTTTAGCTCCAAATGGTTCCAGCTGCAGACACTGTGGTGTTTAGTTAACAGATGCACTGATGTGGAGGGGCCAGGATTGCCTCACTTACATGTCTGTGGCCTTGTTGACAATGGTTAGGGGCTTGAGCCCATTTGTGAATGTCAACTAAAGTGCATACATTTGGTCTTGTCTCTTCAGCATGATAGTCTTAGGGTAATTGGACTTCTTACATGGCAGATTAGGGACCCCAAGGAACATTCTTAGCTTATTATTATCTTTTTCCATGGCTTTTCAGGCAATTAACAAATGTCAGCTGACTCTAACATCCTTATAACTATCAAAGACCCATGCTGTTTAAGTCCCACAGCATAACCCATGCTTCATTTTCCACTTCATCTCATTCCAGTTCACCTGCATGTAGGAAGTTACCACATTTCCACTTATTGTTCCCGGTATAGACTTTATGGATCTTTGGCCAATTAGTGATCCGCTCTAAAATACCAACATGCAGGTTCTAGGAAGTCAGATCAAATACATCCAGCCTATCCACACTAGGCAACAGTTGGGAAAGTCTCATTGTTATCTATCCTAGTCAATTTCATTTTCGGCTTCGGTTTCCTACAGAGAATTTTTTAAAATCCCCCTTTCTGTTAGTTCATATTTTGTATTCAGATAGTCTACTTTCTAGAGCAGGAAAAAAGGGGTGTGAAGTTGCTTGCCAGTATCTCCATTACCACCTTTCTTTTTCTGTGTTCTCCCAAATTCAGAACCTGAGAGAAAGGCCTGACTAAAAAGAGTTTTCATTAGAAAAATGATCCTAAAAGAAAATATCAAGGAACAGGATAGAGGATCACGGAAGTAAAACAAGGAAGGAGGATAGACCAACAAAATAATGTTATTGATTTGGTCACCACTGTGGGTGACTGCTATTCCATTTCACCACAGGTTTCTAAAACATGTTATGAGAGGCACATCAGAATGGAACACACAGAAAACAAAAAGGAAAAGCATTTCCTCATTGGCTCCTGTTATGCGTAATAACTTTCTCACAATTCTGTGTTGTATATGAAAATGTGATGCACGAGTTCTTGCTGGCATGCTAATTGCAGAAGCATCAAAAATATAAAGCCAGTGATGCCTGTGCAAAGCTGCTGAAATGATGATATCAACAGAGGATGTAAGAAGATATGAGGCCAATGGAATTTTCAAATTTTTACAAGTGGTTTTCAATACACCTGAGAACCTAACACCGGGCATAAAATTATCTGACTGTTCTAATTTCAGTGTTTGGGCTTTCCTATTTTTTTGTCTGAAAATATCTTTATTTTTAGTTTTAATACTAATTAATTTTTACAATAGTTAGAATTTTAGTTGGATTTTTTGTTTGTTTTTATTTATTAAATGCTATTTGTATAGAGTTAGGAGTACAAATGCAGGTTTCTTACATGCCTATATTGTGTAGTGATGGAATCTTGGCTCTTACAGTATCCATCACCTATATAGTGAACATTGTACCCAATAGGTAATTTTTCCACCCTCGTCCCACTTCTACCCACCTATCTTCTATAGTTTCCAATGTCTATTATTTATAGAAACCAAATTGAAATATATTGCCACTGCAGCTAGGGATGGCCCCCAAAGATATCGTTGTGAAGTGTTCTCTCTGGACAGATTTTAAATCGTTAACAGGTAAGAAAATTTGTGCAAAGGAAAAGGTGGCCTGAAGTAAGGCTATATACAGAATCTTGAGCAGTGGAGACTGCTTTATGTAGTTGGCCTTGGCTTAGAAGGGGCACAACTGTAGGATCAGATATTAAGAGGTTTATAGGTAAATCTCTAGGCGTGGGTGTTTAAAGTGTGCGGATCTTTATGTCTTAAGTCAACGTCAACCAGAGAATACAGGTTTTAGAGAGACACTGAACAACCAGGTGGCTAAAATTACTCATCCAGTAGATTTGAGCCAGCCTTTATCCTCAGTTACCCAGTGTTTGCACAGAATAGATGTGGTGGCAGGGATGAAATCTTTGCATGTACTCATCAACCTGGCTCCCTTTCACCAAGGCAGTATCAGTACATGTTAAATATTGTATTGGCCCAAAGATAACAAAAATTGACATTGAGCCTTCAGTATGTTACCACCCTTCAAGAAGACCAACCAGATCTCTAGATGTCAAGGTAATCACGTCAGTCTTTTTGCACCCTGGAGGAGGCCATTTTTTGTTTGTTTGTTTCTTTGTTTGTTTTAACAGAAGTTGATATAAATTCTGGGTATGGATATTCCCTGTTTAGAGTGGTTTGCCCAGCATCTATTCAAGGACTTGTGATGTCTGTTGAAATGTCATAAAATCCTACTAAACATCAGCCTAGAGAAAGTTTTGAAAGTTTTGACTTTACAATAAAGAGGCACAACAGTGCAAATGTAACCATGGAATCCACTAGTCCTTATACATTATTGAAAAGCTGCCAGCCTAACAGAAATTGGAATGGCCAGTAGAGATGAAGCTAAGATACACTGTGGGGTTGGGGATTGCCACTCAGTAGGCAGCATGTAATTGGGTAACTAAAGGATATTCTATGCTAGCTAGAATACATGAGCTTGGGAACCAAAACTGAGTTAAAGTAGGAGTATTCTCCATTGAATCACTTGTGAATTTGTGATCCATTGTCTAGTCTGCTGGACTAGAGGGTCAGTTTTCAGGGTGATGTTAAGCAGTTTTTCTACCAGTGATCATAATAAAGTTCTACTAAATCTGAAACTACAGGTGCCACCTGGTCATTTTATGAATTTCATGTTTGTAGACAAACCAGCAGTCAATGAAAAGGATTTATCTAGTGGCAAGCTTAAATGATTATGGTTTCTGTGAGGAAATAGAATGTAATGGAAGCAGGGAAGAGTATGGCTGGCACTCAAAGGATTCTCTGGGATACTCTTGGTGCTCCCATGGCCTGTTAAGATGTATTGACAGTGACCGAGCCTTATTGAAGCAAAGAAATAGGTTTTCTTGTTTCTCAAGAATGAAGAATTGTGTCTCTCTACTGAGAAGCCAACCTAGACAAGCAGAACTGCTGGTCAAGTATAAGCAAAACCTAGAATGGGTAATAGAGGGGAAGATCTTGAATATCAATTATGATCATAAAATCAGTTGTAGCAGGGAGGACCACAGCTTAAACTTTCCAGTTGTGTATATATTAAAAGAAAAACAAAAATAAAAAAACCTAATGAACAGCCACAAAACTGAAAAAACCATTAAGGAAAGCTTGAACTTTGATAAAATAGAGGTAATATGGATGAGACTCCCATAGCATCTGTGAAGGCCATCTCCCCTCGTCACTCACCCTTGCACATTCCAATGGCATCTCACTGCAAACATCAGAGATCTTTCATCTAAGGATTTTCTCTCAGCCCACACATGAGCCAAGTCAGGAGTGCAAGGGAGTTATGCTTTCAGGACCAGTCCCTACCCAGAAGTGAAAGGAAGTTGGAAGAAATGTACCCCAGGTTTCTAACCCATCCAAGAGGGAAATTGGAGGCAGGTTTTACATTGTTTCCTAGAGTCACCTGAGGAGATCTGAGCTCCTGTTTTCACAGCAAAACCTGCTAGATATGTTCCCAGTCACTGGTTTTGTTCCATTCCAGTTTTCACTTTCCCACTGACCTACCTGGTTTCTTATGAGCACCTTCCAAATAAATATCCCTTGCTCGCAAATCCTTGTCTAGGCCTAAGCCTCCAAAAGTACAGCCACTCTGTTCATTGTAAATTAAAGATAGAGAAAACTGTCTTGTAGGATTGAAATCAGGATAATATGAGATATTTAGTGTCCAGATCTTAGAATCTATTTATTAAAAAGCAACAATGATTATGATTATTCACTCAGCAAACACAAAAGTCTATAATAAAGTGCTCAGGTTTCAACCTTAAGATCCACTTATTAGTAGCTCTGTGATTTTGGGCAAGTTACTAAATGTTTCTGTGTCCCAGCTCTTGTAAAATTGGGAAGAAACATTTGTTGGAAGAATTAAAATAGGGAAATCCACACAAAGTAGTGAAAGCTGTGCAGGGGACATTACAAATGTCTAATAAATAATATCCTTGTTATCATTCACTGTGTACTAAGTGCCAAAAACTTTGCCCTTGCCTGTGAGTTAAAGTTCTTAGCTATTGAACCTACTGTGAAAGCAATAAACTTAGTCCTGTGTGAGTGGACCTAACATTTCACAACATTAGACTTCAAAAATCATAAGAGCTTTATCCCTGACCTACTGCCAAACTGGCGATTAACGTCAACATATTTCAAGCTAGCTTTGAAATACCACATACTTTGAACAATTGTGAAAGATCTCAAAGTTCTGTTTAGTAACAACATGCAGCTTCTAGAAAGTCCGGTCAAATACATCCAGCCTATCCACACTAGGCAACAGTGGGGAAATTCCCGTTGTTACCCAGCTTAGTCACTTAATTTCACTTTCGGTTTCTGTTTCCTATGGAGAATTTTTAAAAACCCCCTTGTCTGTTAGTTCATATTTTGTATTCAGATCGTCTGCTTTCTAGAGAAGGAAAAAAGGGGTGGCGAGAAAAAAAGTCTCCAGGACTGGGTGAGGAAAAAGTACATGAGAAATCACCAAAGCTAAAGCAAGGGACGAGAGTTCTAACTCTTAGCAAGTTCTCATAGAAGCAGCTTTCTTACTAGCTCTAAAAGACCTCTTCTTCCGATTTTACAATCAAGGTAAGATTGGGGCAAGGGAGGAAGAGATTTGCAAGGTTCGGTTGATTTTAAAAACATTCTACAAAGGCTAGGATGCAGCTTAAGCTGATGTGGTATATTAGACCTCAGTAAAAACTAAGCAAAATTAATTACCAGCTGTGCTTGCCTCCTTTTGAATTAGACACCAATGTGTGTGATGATTAAACTAAGAGTTTGAAATGCCTTCAAAATATTTTTCTTCCTTTGCAATTTTATGACTTATTGAAGATTATAATTTCCACTTAAGTTACCTTTGTCCTTCATAAAATCCGATTCAGCTGGTTTGAACTGCAGCATGAAAGTGTCGAGAACTATGATTGTCATTATATTCATGAGAAAGAACAATGGATAAGATGCAAATGTAAATAGCTTACTAACATTGTTAAGGACAAAAAAAAGTGTTGAATCCCAGAGCGAAGTTTCATGAAAACAGCAGTATATTTTTAGTCATAGTCTTTTACTTTGTTCTACCTTTAGAAATAGCCCTGACTGAGGTTGCTTATCAGTTTAAGGAGATTTGGGGCTGAGACTATAGGGTCCTCTAAATATACAATCATGTCGTCTGTAGAGACAATCTGACTTTCTCCTTTCCTAATTGAATACCCTTTATTTCTTTTTCTTGCCTCATTGCTCTGGCTAGAACTTCCAATACTATATTGAATAGGAGTGGTGAGAGAGGGCATCCTTGTCTAGTGCCGGATTTCAAAGGGAATGCTTCCAGTTTTTGCCCATTCAGTATGATATTGGCTGTGGGTTTGTCGTAAATAGCTTTGATTATTTTGAGATACATTCCATCCATACCTAGTTTATTGAGAGTTTTTAGCATAAAGGGCTGTTGAATTTTGTCGAAGGCTTTCTCTACATCTATTGAGATAATCATGTGTTTTTTGTCTTTGGTTCTGTTTATGTGGTGAATTACATTTATAGACTTGTGTATGTTGAACCAGCCTTGCATCCCCAGGATGAAGCCTACTTGATCATGATGGATAAGCTTTTTGATGTGCTGTTGCAATCAGTTTGCCAGTATTTTATTTTTGCATCTATGTTCATCATGGATATTGGCCTGAAGTTTTCTTTTCTTATTGAGTCTCTGCTGGGATTTGATATCAGGATGATGTTGGTCTCATAAAATGATTTGGGGAAGATTCCCTCTTTTTGGATTGTTTGGAATAGTTTCAGAAGGAGTGGTACCAGCTTCTCTTTGTATGTCTGATAGAATTCGGCTGTGAACCCATATGGACCTGGGCTTTTTTGGTTGGTGGGCTATTAATTGCTGCCTCAACTTCAGCCCTTGTTATTGGTCTATTCAGGTTTTCAACTACTTCCTGGTTTAGGCTTGGGAGGGTGCAAGTTTCCAGGAATTTATCCATTTCTTCCAGGTTTAGTGGCTTGTGTGCATAGAGTTGCTTGCAGTAATCTCTGATAGTGGTTTGTATTTCTGTGGAATCTGTGGTGATACCCCCTTTATCATTTTTTATTGCATCTATTTGATTATTCTCTCTTTTTTTATTAATCTGGCTAGTGGTCTATTTTGTTGATCTTTTCAAAAAACCAGCTCCTGGATTTATTGATTTTTTGAAGGTTTTTTTGTGTATTTCCTTCAGTTCTGTTCTGATCTTCGGTATTTCTTGTCTTCTGCTAGCTTTTGAGTTTTTTTTTATCTTGCTCCTCCAGCTCTTTCAATTTTGACGATAGGGTGTTGACTTTGTATCTTTCCTTGCTTCTCATGTGGGCATTTATTGCTATAAATTTTCCTCCAGACACTGTTTTAAATGTGTCCCAGAGATTCTGGTATGTTGTGACTTTGTTCTCGTTGGTTTCGAAGAACATCTTTATTTCTGCCTTCATTTCATTGTTTATCCAGTCAACATTCAAGAACCAGTTGTTCAGTTTCCGTGAAGTTGTGTGGTTCTCAGTTAGTTTCTTAATCCCGAGTTCTAATTTGATTGCACTGTGGTCTGAGAGACTGTTTGTTATGATTTCCATTCTATTGAATTTTACGAGGAGTGATTTGCTTCCAATTATGTGGTCAATTTTAGAGTAGGTGTGATGTGGTGCTGATAAGAACGTATATTCTGTGGATTTGGGGTGGAAAGTTCTGTAAACGTCTATTAGGTTTTCTTGGTCCAGGTCTGAGTTCAAGTCCTGGATATCCCTGTTAATTTTCTGTCTTGTTGATCTGTCTAATATTGACAGTGGAGTGTTAAAGTCTCCCACTATTATTGTGTGGAAATCTAAGTCTCTTTGTAGGTCATTAAGAACTTGCTTTATGCATCTGGGTGCTCCTGTATTGGGTGCGTATATATTTAGGATTGTTAGCTCTTCTTGTTGCATTGATCCTTTTACCATTATGTAATGCCCTTCTTTGTCTCTTTTGATCTTTGTTGGTTTAGAGTTTATTTTATCGGAGACTAGGATTGCAGCTCCTGCTGTTTTTTGCTCTCCATTTGCTTGGTAAATCTTCCTCCATCCGTTTATTTTGAGCCTGTTGTATCCTTGCATGTGAGATGGGTTTCCTGGATACAGCACACCAATGAGTTTTGACATTTTACCCAATTTGCCAGTCTGTGTCTTTTGACTGGGGCATTTAGCCCATTTAAATTTAAGGTTAATATTGTTATGTGTGAATTTGATCCTGCCATTTTGATGCTAGCTGGTTGTTTTGCCCATTAGTTGATGCAGTTTCTTCTTGTGTCAATGCTCTTTACCATAAAATCAATATACAAAAATCACAAGCATTTATATATACCAATAAAAGACTTAAAGAGAGCCAAATCAAGAACAAACTGCCGTTCACAATTGCTACAAAGAGAATAAAATACCTAAGAATACAACTAACAAAGGATGAAAAGGACCTCTTCAAGGAGAACTACAAATCACTGCTCAACGAAATAAGAGAGGACACAAACAGATGGAAAAACATCCCATGCTCATGGTTAGGAAGAATCAATATTGTGAAAATGGCCATACTGCCCAAAGTAATTTATAGATTCAACACTATCCCCATCAAGCTACCAATGACCTTCTTCACAGAACTGGAAAAAACCACTTTAAACTTCATATGGAGCCAAAAGAAAGCCTGCTTAGCCAAGTCACTGTTGGTGGGAGGGTAAATTAGTTCAACCATTGCGGAACACAGTGTGGCGATTCCTCAAGGACCTAGAAATAGAAATTCCATTTGACCCAGCAATCCCATTACTGGGTATACATCCAAAGGATTATAAATTGTTCTATTATAAGAACACATGCACATGTATGTTCATTGCAGCACTGTTTACAATAGCAAAGACTTGGAACTAACCCAAATGTCCATTGATGATAGACTGGACAGGGAAAATGTGGCACATATACTCCATGGAATACTATGCAGCCATAAAAAATGATGAGCTCGTGCCCTTTGTAGGGACCTGGATGAATCTGGAAACCATCATTCTCAGCAAACTGACACAGGAACAGAGAATCAAGCACCCCATGTTCTCACTGATAGGTGGGTGTTGAACAATGAGAACACATGGACATAGTGAGGGGAGCATCACACACTGAGGTCTGTCGGAGGGGACTAGGAGAGGGACAGTGGGGGGTAGGGAGTTGGGGAGGGATAACATGCGGAGAAATGCCAGATATAGGTGAGGGGGATGGAGGCAACAAACCACATTGCCACATGTTTACCTATGCAAAATCCTGCATGTTCTTTACATGTACCTCAGAACCTAAAATGCAATAAAATATATATTTAAAAAAAAAACTGGCAACATAAGAAGACCCATCTCTGAAAATAAAAAATTAGCCAGGTGTGCTGGCACACACCTGTGGTCCTAGCTACTCGGGAGGCTGAGGCAAGAGGATTGCTTGAGCCCAGGAGGCTAAGGATGCAGTGAGCTGTGATCACACCACTGCACTCTAGACTTAGTAATAAAGAAAGACAATGTGTTAAATATTCTTGTGCCCCATAATGAAGTATGACAGTGGCACAAGAATAGATGAACAGGGCCGGGCAAGGTGGCTCACACCTGTAATCCCAGCACTTTGGGAGGCCAAGGCAGGTGGATCACAAAGTCAAGAGATCGACACCATCCTGGCTAACGTGGTGAAACCCTGTCTCTACTAAAAATACAAAATTAGCCAAGCATGGTGATGGGCACCTGTAATACCAGCTACTTGGGAGGTTAAGGCAGGAGAAGAAAAAAAAAAGAAATAGCCCTGACTATTCTGTATGATTCATGCAGCACTGTTCACAATAGCAAAGATTTGGAACCAACCCAAATGCCCATCAATGATAGATTGGATAAAGAAAATGTGGCACATATACCACATGGAATACTATGTAGTCATAAAAAAAATGAGTGCATGTCCTTTGCAGGGACATGGATAAAGCTGGAAATCATTTTCAGCAAACTAACACAGAAATAGAAAACCAAACACCACATGTTGTCACTCATAAGTGGGAGTCGAACAATGAGAAAACATGGACACAGGGAGGGGAACATCACACACCAGGGCCTGTCAGGGGCTGGGGGTTTGGGGAGGGATAGCATTAGGAGAAATACTTAATGTAGATGACAGGTTGACGGATGCAGCAAACCACCATGGCACGTGTATACCTATCTAACAAACGTACACGCTCTGCACATGTATCCCAGAACCTGGCATATAATAATAAAAATAAGTAAAATAAAATAATACTTTAGTAAAAAAAGAAAAAAAAGAGGAAAGAAATAGCCCCGACTTAATTCATGTTGGCTTCTTGGCATCTACTCACTTAACTAGCCCCTTTTGTGTTGGGTTCTGTTTCTACTACTCTCTTGCCTTTACAACTATAAATCACCTAATTTAACAGTTGCCCAACTGGACCCTTCAATACTGTCTGGCAACTTTGTTCACTCCTTGAAATTCTCTCCTTTGAATTTTTTACCATGATACATATTTCAAGCACTTTGTACTTGTTTGATTTCCATTTATATCCTTAGTAAGAGCTTTTTCCTTTTCATCCAAATTCAAACCAAAAGCTATGCAAAATAAGCAAAAGCCAGCAACAACCACTACATATACATATGCAGGCACAAAACCCAAACTATAACTGTATGGTTGAAAACAGTTGTTTTCTTTCAGAAATTCTTTCAGAAATCTTTCAGAAATCCGCCACCACTTCTCAGCATTTTCTCTTATTATTTTTTGGCAGTTTCCTTCTTTGCACTTTAAAAAATCTCCCGCAGCTCTATCTCTCTCTCATAAGCCAGCAGTTATTACTGATGTTAATAAATAGTTGTTTATTTACTTTTACTGTTTTAGAAAACAAGCTAAGAGTTGAGTAAAATGCCAGAGAGATACAGATAGCCAGTTGTAGGGCTGGGGTCGGAAATCAAGTCCTATTTACTGAAAGGGCAAAATGTGCATTTTGTGCATGTATACTGAACCATTCTTGCATTGTTTTTGTTTGCAAAAGGTTATAGGACTCAAACAGGGAGAATGCATCCCAGAGCACTCATCGCAGGCTAAGTTCTGAATAACAGAGCAACAGTTATGTTTGTGGCTTGAACACATTAAATCTGCAATAATGTTTTAGAAATTTGGCTTTACTAAAAGCATTAAAGGTGCTATCCAGAAAACGTTAGGGTACAACATGTAAAATACTATTATTAATATAGATATACAGTGCTATCATCTTTCGTAAGGAAGTCTGAACACTCAAATTTATTCCCTTTCCCACTAGTGACATCATCCCAAAGCATAAGATCTTGTAAGTTCTCAATGTCTGCTTACAGATCTGGCTTATGTATCTTCTGTTTTTCTAGCTAATTGCTGTAGATCATCACTGCAAGGTGCCCATAACTTTCTAGTGTAAAAATTATTCTGGCCTCTGCTGCATGCAAATCAGGCAACCAGAATTCTACAAATATAAGGTACTAATGGTGCACTGAAAGTGGATTAGAATGAGGAAATCGTCGGCATTTGAGTCTAAATTCATTGCAGAATTGCCTCTTTCTGGATCAGGCTAGCACTCGGCATTTTCTGACTCCCATGTCCTAGTGCTACACCATTTGCAAATGGATCTCCTATTATCTGCTGCCAAGCAGTTTCTGTTTTAATGTTTGTGTCAACATCATGATTTCCAGGGCATTACCTATGAGGAAGCAGGGAGAATGGGCCTTTATAATTGAACAATGACAGTTTTTACAATCTGCCAGTAAAGATATGGAGAATCCAGGCCTTTTCATTGTAAGATTTTAGTGAAAGAATGGGTCAAACAGATGGTGAAGTTTTTAGCTTCTCTAGTAAATAAGCACCTTTAAAATGGAAGGAGACTATGATAAGGCTGTTGGGAGCATTTGAGAGCAGGCCTTAAGCCTGGGGTAGCAGGCCTTAAAGAAACTGGCCATAAACAGAATATGTATAGCACTGTGACATACTCGTGATGGCAGTGCCGCATATTGCTAGAGGTTATTGGTTTACTGGAGCCGGGGGAAGAAAGACCTGACCCTCCCTTTGGTGGAAGACGGCTGGGGGGCTTCTGAACCATCAACAATAGCATGAGCGACAGGTGCCTTAATGATAAGTGACAGCTGCAGTAGATAAGTGAGCCAAAGCCTGTTTCTTGCCACTCAGAAATGCTTTGTTCCCTTCGAAGAATGTTTTTGGTTAAATGATGATTATCGCTTGCTGTCAATAAATGTGTGGGTCAGACTCTGTTCTGAGGCTCTCAGCTGGGAATGCTGAGGCCCCCCGTCTGTCCCACACCTTTTTGCTCTCTACCTCTCTGTCTGTTTCTTAATTCCTTCAGCACCGCCTGGTTTGGGGTCTCTGCGACAGAGCTGGTCTCAGCAAAGGCAAAGTAGAAAAGCACATTTTTATGGCATTTGCTTGTTCTCATATAGCTTAAATTTTTTTTTAACCAGATTCTTCAGGTTATAGGGATTGATGCTCAGAAGTTAGAAAAAAAACAGATTAGGTGTTGTTAAAGGAAGTTGTTTTATTCGTTCAATCATAAAATAATCATTCATTGAAGTTTTGGTTTAATAAAGCACATTAATAACTATTTAAAAATTAAGCATATCTCTAAGAAGCAAACAACTGTGATTTCTTAGATAATGCTGCATAATGACTTAGTATTATTTAATGTAATGCAGTTTGACTGGACATAGACCTAACTAAGAAAAAAACGATGTTGACATAAAGTAAAAGGAACAGTGTAATATATAAATAATGTCATAAAAAATTAATATAGGGACCCAGGGCTGTAAAAGCTAAAAAACATAAATAAGCCAAAAACCAGTGGAATAAGAGTTAGATTCAAACTAGTTGGTTAGATACAGGAATGGAGCTTTGTATGCCTATCAAATACTTAAGAACCAGTAGGGTAGCCATAGTAGACCTATAAAAGGCCTAGGACTTATTTTACTGTGGCTGTCTTTGCAATCTCTCTTTATTTTTAAACAATTTCTTTCAGAAACGTAGGCAATGCTGGGGAGTAGTGTGTCCCCAGGTTCAGTAAGTAAAATGACTTTCTTTGCTTATTAAACAAACACTAGAAATTCCAGTCCATCCCACCTGTTCTGTTGCAGGAAAAGTAACATCCTAGACATGGCTCCAGAGATCCACATGTCAGACCCTGTGTGCCTCATTGAGAACTTTAATGAGCATCTGAAGGTTAATCAGGAAGCTTTGGAGATCCTGTCTGCCATTACGCAGCCTGTGGTGGTCGTGGCGATCGTGGGCCTCTATCGCACTGGCAAATCCTACCTGTTGAACAAGCTGTCTGGGAAGAACAAGGGTGAGTGGCACCAGAAAAGCTCTGCCAAGCCCTTCTGTCCGTTCACACAGTCACCACCCAGTACAGGGAAGTGAGGAGAGAAAGTAAGACATGAGGATGAATATTAAAAACCAATATTTAGGCCACAGCTGGTCTTTTTAGCTTCTGAAAGATGAAGGGCAGTTCTCTGTTCCTGACAAATCACTTCTTTTTTTTTTCGTCATCTTAATTTCTTCCTGTAAAATGTATAATATGTTCTCCTTGTAAGGAGTAAGACATCAATGAATAATTTCCATATACATAATTATAAACTAGCAGCATTCTATAGTGTAATATTTTTTATTTAAATATCAAAGTTCCAACCTATGGCATTTGATATTATTTTTCCATTTCTGTATCATCATTCAAGTCAAGTTGTACTTTCAGTGAAAGTACTGGTTGTACTTTCTGCTGTCTCATCTTGCTTTCCTTAAACTCTAGCTGCATGAGCAAGCAAATCCCCAGTTTCCAGTTTCTCTCCTATTACAACCTCTTACTCTCCCCTGCAGGCTTCTCTGTTGCATCTACGGTGCAGTCTCATACCAAGGGAATCTGGATATGGTGTATGCCTCATCCCAACAGGCCAAATCACACATTAGTTCTGCTTGACACTGAGGGCCTGGGAGATGTAGAAAAGGTAAGAGAGAAGGATGCCTTTTTAAACCTCCTAATCTCTGAACAGTCTTTCCACAGGGAGATTTTGGGTTTATTTTTATAAATGTGTAGTTCCACCTGACCAATGTATATCCCCCATTGTTTTCCTTTGTATTTTTAATAGTCAGAGTTTGGAAGCCTGAAGTTAAGAAAATACATTTATAAGCCAGAATCAGAACTTTGTTGATTTTGAGCTAGGCAGTTAACTCAAATTCAGAAAGGTGGTACAGAAAAAATCACTGTTACAAACCTGATCCTGCGATTATACTAGTTAATAGTGGGTGCTATTCTTAAATGAACTTGTGTTCCAGTCAAAGCTCTAGCACTTGTAGCTTTCTGACTTTAATAAGAGAAGTAACTCTCTCCAAATGTCCTATTTTCTCTTCGGTCTTTCTTATTCAACTCATTACTTAAAAACAGTAGGAACATGGGCCTTTCCTAGTTATATGCTGGTAAGTACTTAACAACCAGCTCACTGACAAAAAAACAAAAACAACCATGATCTGTAGCACTTGACTATTTTCTAAATTCTCCCATCATAATTGATTTCAAGCTACCAAAGTGAATTCACTAAGCTCAGACTTGGGAAGACACAGCTGGCTGTCATGAGTTGGTATGAGGGGCTCCAGCACACACCTGGATCTTTCTCTTGAACTTCCATTGTTTTCTTGTGTGTTTTTTTTTCTTTGTTTTTGATTTGTCAAGACTCAAAGATGATAAGTCCCAATTTGAGCCTCAGTTTCCTTACCTACAAAATGGAGATAGTAACTATAAACCCATCTCACAGCATTTTGTTAGAATTTGATAAAATCATTAATGTGAGCTGCATTATTGATACTAGTTATTCAATAAAATAGGTATATGTACTGTGTATATAGGCCAATTTTGCTTTACGTGCTGGAAAACCTCTTTTTTAAGTACTCTGATCACCCCACTAACTTTAACTATCCCTTTTGCAAATATTTAACAGTAGCTATAAGAGGAATTGGTGAGTTAATAAGATATTGATCAGTATAAAATTATCAATGTTAACAAGAGAACTATTCAAAGTTAATATTGCTAACAATCTTTATTTGTCTTGTTCCAAAAAAAAAAAAAAAAAAGGCTTTATACACCAAGAGCCTATTTTTAAATATTGCTCTTCTGGGAATCCCATAAGACACGACTTAAATTTGGTCTAACTTCTAGGCTGACAACAAGAATGATATCCAAATATTTGCACTGGCACTCTTACTGAGCAGCACTTTTGTGTACAATACCATGAACAAAATCGATCAAGGAGCTATAGACCTACTGCAGTATCCTTCTGTGGTACAGGGTGGCATCAAAGTCCGAGAAAACTCTTCTCTTTACCAGATGGGTGTCTGTGAGACCTTGTGAAACACAAAAATTGAAACATGATAAACATTGAAAGTACAAAGAAAGGAGTCCTTATATTTACTGACAAAATGATAATTTGGTTAAGACTCATAGGGAAAATAAAGGTTTGGGTAGACCTGGAATTAAGTATGAGTTTGGATACAGTCCTATTTCTGCCAGTTTTCTTTAATTGCATCTCAGCAATGTGACAGAACTGACAGATCTGCTCAAGGCAAGAACCTCACCTGACCTTGACAGGGTTGAAGATGCTGCTGACTCTGAGAGCTTCTTTCCAGATTTAGTGTGGACTCTGAGAGATTTCTGCTTAGACCTGGAAATAGATGGGCAACTCATCACAGCAGATGCATATCTGGAGAATTCACTGAGGCCAAAGCAAGGTAACAGGGACTTCAGTTTTGGAAAGATTTATAAAAAAGTATTCTAAGAAATTACCTCTTTTGTTTAGGTGGTTAAATTTACGGATTTCTATATATGTTCACCTAGCTTTCCTACAAAATAAATAACGAATATTATTAATTTATAATGAACAAGTAGGTTCAATATTAAGTTGCATTATTGCCCGATTCATAGAACAAATTTCTTTTCTTTGTGACTTTCCCTGATTAGTTACCTTTTTTCTTTTTCTTAAGATTTATGAAGATATATTAATCTGGGTGACATCAGGCGAAAGGACATTTATTTGAGGTAAATAAGTGAAAATGAAAGTAAATTCTATGCTAAATAAATCCTATTTTTTATTCTTCAGGTAGTGATCAAAGAGTTCAAAACTTCAATTTGCCCCGTCTGTGTATACAGAAGTTCTTTCCAAAAAAGAAATGCTTTATCTTTGACTTACCTGCTCACCAAAAGAAGCTTGCCCAACTTGAAACACTGCCTGATGATGAGCTAGAGCATGAATTTGTGCAACAAGTGGCAGAATTCTGTTCCTACATCTTCAGCCATTCTATGACCAAGACTCTTCCAGGTGGCATCAAAGTCAATGGATCTCGTGAGTATAATTTTTAGGATTTTCCTTCAATTTAATGTAAACGATAATGGACACTTTTAGTAAGATTATACTTGCAGTGTCAATAAGAATTGCTACCGTGAAAATCATATGTATCGTTTATTAAGTTTCTGTGGGTATCACATATTACTAGTGTGCGTTTTTTGTAGTAATACCTTTAAAGTTATATAAAATAGGAACAAAACATGAAGATAAAATAAAATTAAAGATCTATTGAACTGGATTAATCCACACAGGCTGGCAGCGTTTGTTCAACAACTATATTGGAGTTTTATTAGGTGTCATAGTCTTTGATAGGCACAAGATGAGCAAGACATAAATGTTTACTGTATAAGTGAAACTTCACTGATACAAACTTTAAACAAAGGCCCAAATTGTCTAGAACCCTAAAAGAAATCTAAGCAGACTTCTGAGTCTAGTTTTTCTTAAGAACTCTATGTCTCAGAACTCTGTAAATAATTGCTACATTATAGGAGGAAGTTGAGTGGAAACAAAAGCGAGCAAATGACAAGACATAAAACAGGAAAGTTCAAACAAACATTAAGAGAAATCTGGTTGGCCAGGCGCGGTGGCTCACGCCTATAATCCCAGGACTTTGGGAGGCCGAGGCGGGTGGATCACGAGGTCAAGAGATCGAGACCATCCTGGTCAACATGGTGAAACCCCGTCTCTACTAAAAATACAAAAAATTAGCTGGGCATGGTGGCGCATGCCTGTAATCCCAGCTGCTCAGGAGGCTGAGGCAGGAGAATTGCCTGAACCCAGGAGGCGGACGTTGCGGTGAGCCGAGATCACGCCATTGCACTCCAGCCTGGGTAACAAGAGCGAAACTCTGTCTCAAAAAAAAAAAAAAAAAAAGAGAAATCTGGTTTAAATTGCTTACTTTGTACTTTTTCAGAGAAGGGTAGCTCTCATCCTAGCTTAATTATACTAAGTAAAATAGGAAAAGGAATTCTGAAGAGAACAGAAAGCTGAGGAAAGAAAAGGGCAAGATTGAAGGGATAGAAGTCTATAGCATTGTATTCAATGCTATAGATGATCTATATGATCATCTTTTATATGATCCTCTTCTCATTTCTCCATCAGAGAAGGATGAAATGTGGACAATCACAAACATCTTAAAATTTCCTCTTTTCTTATTTGAACACAGTTTCCTTTCCCAAAGAATGAGAAACTTGGCTTCCTGATCACATAATTTCCCAAATAAACTTATTTGGGCAACTTGACTACTGTCCATAATGCTAAAAAGTTTCAGGCAATGTAGCTATTAAATGGACATTCTCAGAAATTACTATATCGATCATATTTTCTTTCTTTGCAAATCATATAAACATTTCTTTCTTCCATGGAGGTCTAAAGAACTTGGTGCTGACCTATGTCAATGGCATCAGCAGTGGGGATCTGCCTTGCATAGAGAACACAGTCCTGGCCTTGGCCCAAATAGAGAACTCAGCCGCAGTGCAAAAGGCTGTTGCTCACTATGACCAGCAGATGGGCCAGAAGGTGCAGCTGCCCACGGAAACTCTCCAGGAGCTGCTGGACCTGCACAGGGACAGTGAGAGGGAGGCCATTGAAGTCTTCATGAAGAACTCTTTCAAGGATGTGGACCAAAGTTTCCAGAAAGAATTGGAGGTGATATTTTTGTTTTTAGTTCATGGGGATTATGGTCAATCAAAGACAAAGTATTGCTACAAATGATAAAATAGAACTTAGTTAAGAAAAGAAATTCATACTAGATTGGAAAACAATAATCAATATATAGCCATGATACCACTTTTATTCCGAAAACAAACGAACATGTAACTACTCTGGACTTTGTAGATTCTGAAGTTTTCACATATGCACACATTTACCATGTTATACCCATGGACTAAATTTTAATTAATTTTCTGCCTTTAAACAATTGCATTTATAAAGTATTAAATTTCCTTTATTAATCAAGCATACAGAATTACCAATTGAATCCACTAAAATATGTTGCATCCAGGATTAATAGAATAAATTGTTATCCTTCCAGCCAACTATTCTATTCTCCTTTATCATTGGAAATCCCAAGTAAAACACTGAAATAATAAAAGAAATGTTGTAGGCTGAATTTAAAATTAAAGCATGCAGCTAGACTTCTGTGGCATGAAGATTACACCTAAAGCAGAAATAACAAGAGATTCAAAACCAAAAGTAAATGTTATTTTTCTGTAGAGTATTATCCTTGGAATTTTTCCAGGTTTGGTGAGAAGGATATAGTCTTGCTTGTATGTGTCTTCCTCTAAGTTTATAGAAAAAAATATAGATTCTTTTTGAGAATTATTTCCAGAAATACTGAAGTATTGCTAACATCTTTTCCATGGGGTTTTAATCTCTTTGAAGACTCTACTAGATGCAAAGCGGAATGACATTTGTAAACAGAACTTGGAAGCATCCTCGGATCGCTGCTCTGCTTTACTTACGGATATTTTTGGTCCTCTAGAAGAAGCAGTGAAGCAGGGAATTTATTCTAAACCAGGGGGCCATAATCTCTTCATTCAGAAAATGGAAGAGCTGAAGACAAAGTACTATCAGGAGCCTAGGAAAGGAATACAGGTATCCCTGGTTCTTCCTATTAATTGTGGAGAATTCCTGAGGGACTTCTTAGAAAAAAACAGTGAGAACAGGAAACACGCCATGTATACAGGCACACAGATGAGGTCTCTCCCTAGCAGTAACCATTTTATTGAGTAAGCATTCATGGAAAAACAATGTGCCTGGTGTTGGTGTTCCTAGCACAGAATTTATACTCTAATGGTAGCAGTGGGATTAAATTGAACCATGACCATAATCACAACTTGTTTTGTGAGCATCAACATTCATTGCAACAAAGAAGCCTTTATGTTCATATTGGTCAGAATCTTAATACTTGAAACTAACTTAAGAAACACCATTGGCTTACACATATTAAAAGCAAAATATTTAAATATTTTAGTTTAGTTTCAAGTATAAATACATTCAGGAGTTTAAATAATAATATTCATTTCCTCCTTCCTTCTTTCTGTCATTTTTGTTTCCTTTTCCTGACTTCATTGGCTTCATTTCCAGGCAGGCTCAGCCCACATGACAATAAAGATGACACCAACAGGTCCAAGCTTAACTAGTCCTTACTGCCCTCAGTCTCGGGGAAAGACAGTGTCTTTTTCCCAGCATAAATCAGTCTTTCGAGCACACAAGCATCATCAATTTTCATACGTTTGCGGTGTTTTTCTACCTGTGAACAAGTCCTTTGCGTCTAGTGGACTTACATGCCCTGACCATGGGGTCATGCCCAAACTTGTGACAGGAGAGGGTGTTCCACAAGCTCCTGGAAAGAACAAGACTTAAAGATGTTTACGACATTCCTAATCACCATTTCCTGCTTCTAACTGCATGTTTTTTGGGTTACTAGGCTGAAGAAGTTCTACAGAAATATTTAAAGTCCAAGAAGTCTGTGAGTGATGCAATATTACAAGCCGACCAGGCTCTCACGGAGAAGGAAAAAAAGATGAAAGGTGAGAAGAAAGTGGAAATGATGCAAGGTAGAAAAAAAACCTCTACAAATTTTAAATTAATTTAGCCTGGCCCTCATAGGATCTTAAACTAGCGCAAGAATGGCAAAGAGACTTCTTAGCTCCTCAAGCCACATCTGACTGTGGCGTGATCCTGCATTGTGGTTACCTGGAAAGGAAAAACAACCCCTGGGAATTTTCTCCAGGAAGCTGGAACAATCATAAATAAAAGTGGGAGGCAGAAGGAAGGGGCACATTAATCCTAGAGAAGTTGATCTTTTTCTCCTCAGAGGAACAAGTGAAAGCAGAGGCTGCAAAGGCTAACGCAAGAAGGTTGGAGGAGATTCAAAAGTGGAACCAGCATATGATGCAGCAGCGGGAGAGAGTCCATCAGGAACAAGTGAGACAAATGGAGAGAGAAAAACAAAATTGGCTGGCAGAGCTACAGAGGACGCAGGAACAACGGATGCAGGTATTTATCAACTGTTTCATCTCTCCCCTTCCTGTAATCATGAGGGTATGAAGCAGTGGGAAAGGGAGAGGCAGCATGCTACTGTGGCTCTCAGCAAGGAGTCTGGAGCCAGAATGCCTGCATATGAACCCAAGCTCCACCTCTTAGTAAGTATATGGTTTAGGCAAGTTATCTATCCCCTCTATGTCTCATTTCCCTCTTATGTAAAATGAAGACAGTGATGATATCTATGTAGGGTTATTTTGATAATGAAATGAGTTAATATTTGTGTTTAAATGGGGCCTGGTACAGAGTAAGCACTTATGTTGTTAAATAAAAACCAAGGCATTTCTACGCTGCAGTGATTGGTCTCTCCTGTTAACTTATTAATTGCCCTGGACAATCTTTTGCTTTGGTCATAGATGCTTTCGTAATTTGATTTCATGTTACAGTGTCTATGCCCTTGTTCTTGCCTGGATCGTCTCTGTTCTGAAGGCCTTTAATCTGCCAGTTTGTTTCATCTAGACCTTTGGTTTTATTTACCAATCACTGTCAGTAGTTACCAAACACTCTCCAGTAGTTCTTATTTATCAATTATTGTCATAGACTTTACACGCATGATCTCATCTAATTCACTCACTGTAAAGCAGAAGTACTGCATCCTCATTTTTCTGATGGGATAAATGGGGTTTCAAAGAGATAATAACTGCCAACATCACACAAGCCTCGTACATTAACAAAACTGCCTTCCAAATGAGTAGAATCTGCAATGTTTTTGCTTCTGCACACCTAGCGTGAAATTCCTGTCAGCACCCCAATGAGACAAATGACATCCTACTTCTCCTTGGCTTGCCAGTCTGTAGGTACTAGTTCTTCAGAAGTTACTCTAAAATATTTCTGATTGCAGCTTCTTCCGAAAGAGCAGTATGAGCAACACGTGGTTATTTCTGTCTTTCCTCTTTTCTCCCACTTCTGCTGCCAAAACTGTGGTGATCTGAACAAATTATCTCATCTAAGGATTAGAAAGCCCACCTGATTCCATGTTATTTAGATACAATGTTTTTGTTTCAACCTCTTCTCTTAGAAATATATCTAGCATTCTCCTACGTGTGAATGAGAATTGAAGTCAAGATGTGACTGAGATTGCCCAAGGAAATTTTGTGGTTTAAGGGAGAAGGAGCTTTGGTATGCAATCCTAGGGATACCAATATTTCAGGGGTGAGAAATGACAGTTTCGGAACTAGAGAAAGACAAAGGGGGTGAATAATTACAGAAATAGGTTAGATGTACTTGAATGGAAGAGAGATATTCAGGAACTGTTTATTGCTACTGTCGATGAAAAGAAGTAAGGACAAGTGAGTGATTTAGGCAATCAGAAGATGTTTGATCTTACTTTCTATTTATCACACTTTAGGAACAAGCTGCACAGCTTACAGCAACATTCGAAGCTGAAAACAGAAGACTTCACCATGAGCTCCAGCATGTCCAGAGGAATGTTAATTGTGACGATCCATGTGTCTTACTCTAAAGTGCTAAATGTGGGAGCTTCCTTTTTTGACTCTGTCCCTGATGACACAACGGAATAAGAAACTACAGAACTCGGGACAATCAACATTTAAATAAACTTTATAATTATTTTTTCAAACTTTCATATAGACTTATAAGATTATGATGCTGATATCTGGTAAAATGTACATCTCAATAATCCCGTAGTTTAAATGATTATTGCTTCCTTTATGAGATAATAAGTTATATAAGAGGCAATGAATCACTGCATTCATTTATGCGTGATATTGGGATGGATTCATCAGGAGATGCCCTCTGTTGCGTCTCAATGCCATCTGTCTAATTTCTCATATTTGTCTCAGGGTATTTTGTTACCTAGAGCAGCAGTTTCTAACCCTCGGGTCATAGACAGGCCATAGGTCTGTGGCCTTTTAGGAACCCTGCCACACAGCAGGAGGTGAGCAGCAGGTAAGAGAGCATTGCCACTGTGGGTAACACCCCCCATGGGCACCAAGGAAGGAGAACTGTCCAGACCCCAGGCACAACTTGTCCCTGAAGTATATCTTAGTTTATAGTATTACTGCTCAGCTGTTTCCTTTATATAATCTTTCATATATAATCATATATTAGTTTATAGAATTAGTGCTTGAAGTGTAACTTACTGCTTACATATATCTAGCATACTTAGTCCTATATAATTTTTCTATATAATCATGTAGGTATTGTATTCGGAGCTGTACTGACACATTTAGTGCTGATTTATATAATCCTTCTATATAACCACATAGTAGTTTGTAGTAGGAGGAATGCCTAGAGCAGTCGCAGAACAGAAGCAGTACATGGGAAAGCAGCCAGACCAGGACGAGAACCAAAGATCCAGGCGGTGACATCCCTGCCTGAAAGGGCATACGCTGTATGGCAGGCTTGGAGCAAGAGCCTCTCCTCCTGATAAAGGAGTTGTAGTCCTTTGAATCCAGTTCCTGTGAAAAGTAGGCCTCAGGCTTGAGATCCTGGAAGTAACCGAGGGAGAAGAACCCCTCTGCTGTGACCAGTCACAGCGGCTGAATACCCTGTCAGTCTTTTCTCACTTCTGTGCTAGCTCAAAGGATCCTCCCATAAATATCTGAAGAACACAAGTCTGTCAGCTCTTACTGCATTAAGCTTACAGTATCCTTCTATTAGAAATCCTTTGAAGTTTCCAGCCCCCAGATAAAAAGTGTTGCACATGACACCTGTTGCACACAGCCCCCTCCTTGCCTCGGTGACCTAATGAGGGTGGACCCCTTTTCTGTACACGACCCTCTACTACTGCGCACGGCACAGCCCCCTCCTGTGCACGGCCCACCTCTGTGCCCAGTTGACATAATGAGGTGGTCCTCTTGCTTGTAACTCACATGATTATATATAGCCTATTACTAAGCCTATAGATGATGACCTCACTCATGATCCTGCCCCCAGCTTGTACCTAATAAATACAGATGCTCTGGGGCATTTGGGGGCTGCCGCTGATCTCCGCTCACAGATGGTGTGGCCCCCTGGGTCCAGATGCTCTTCATCTGTTCTTCCGTGTCCTGTCTCTTTATCTCTTGGATCCTGCACCTCAACACAGCATAAGGGACACCCCACGATGCTGTGGGGCCCCCACAGCCCTACATACCACCTAAGCTCCATCTCCTGTCAGATCAGCAGTGGCATTAGATCCTCACAGGAGTGGGAACCCTATTAACTTGACCAAAGTCTGGGTGCAGTTGGGCATCATTCCTGCTAATGGTTATGTGCTGGGTGCCATCAGAGGAAAGTATCAATGGTAAAGTGGAAACGATGTGCAGCTTTCAAATGGGTGGAGGTGGCTATTCTTTGGACAGTGAGATAATTCTTTGGCACTGTCAATAGACAATCTCTGTAGAGAAATTCCGAGCTGAAAGCCAATAATGTTATCATCAAATAGAGATTCCTCAGATGAAAGGAATTACCAGCATGGAAATTGTGTTATAGACTTAAGTGCTAAAAAAGAAGCCTTTTCTTTTTTGTTCGACCTCACCAAGAACATAAATAGGACATTTTATAACCTGAAACAATTTATATTGGACTTAATAATTATGTATAATATGCTTATAATCCTTTAGATCTTATAAATATGTGGAATAAGGAATGTTATATAATATGCCAAAAATCTGAGTGCATTTAATTTAATGCTTACTTACAGTCTTAAAGTTAAATGATCTTAATTCTTTGCAATCATCTAGGAAAGACGATTGATTTTTGTTAAAGTATATATCTTATATATCTATTGGTACAGATTTTAACCATAAAAACATTTTGGGAAAACCATAGATTAGTTCCTTTGTTTTTGTTTTTCTCAATAGTTAAAAGTATATGGAGAAAGACTGAATTTCCTTAAGGAGATTAAGAATTGCTTTAAGACTAGAATTAAAACACATTATATTACATCTTTTTATGTACTTTTTGATACTTTGTTTTGCATATCTCCAGTAAAACTTTTTTTTTGTTGACATTATAAAAACATTACCAAACATTACACAAAGCTGGTTTTTCTCCCTCAAAAGTACTTACTTATCTAAGGACTTTCCCACACAGGTAATATGATAGGAGCTTGAATTTTTTTAGTCATCAAAATATGATTTGTTTATATACAGAAAAAAGAAAAATTTTAGTATCTGCTCCTTTTACTGTTCTTTGAAGAGTTTTAATGTGAGAAATGTTTAATATCAGATAGGATGTGGTATTACTTAGCAGTATTTCTAGATTTGTACTGAAGTTCAGAAGGTACCAGCATATTCAACTGAGCATTTGCCTAGCAATACCCTATAATTACCTTTCCAAGCTGCGTAATTTATAAAGAAAAAAATGCATTTTATCATCCAAGGAAATGTTATGGGTAAAAAGAATAGCTCTATCTCCAAATTAAATATTTGTATCTTTATTAAACACCTTAAACAAATTTTTTAAAATCCTGAGATTCAGCAAAATTAAGTCATTTATCTAAGGCTTCACACATTGTTACTGTTAACCTAGACCATGTTACAAAGTAGTTGATTTCTAGTCTAATACTCTTTCTATTATATCTCCCCCACCAAAAACCAGAGAGGCATGCTGCTTTCACTAGTGGTCCCCATTTCCTTCCCCACCAGCTTCCCTGGCTCCCACTCATCCTCAGATATTTCGTCTCATAGGATAGAGATGTGTCATTGGGTGCAAAAAAACAAGAAAAGACACTGTAAGGTAAACACTGATGGTTTCTTGAAGCTACCAGTAAGTAGTTTATATTTTCTGACTTACTTTGTCTTACTGTTGTGAAATCAACTGATTTAGTTTTAAATGTAATGAAAAGCAAGGCCCTAGATTCTCCCCTAGACCCTGCAGATGGAATGCAACCTTGTTAACATCTTGATTTAAGCCTCATAGGCTTCTGAATTCCACAATCGTAAGATAATAAGCTTCTGTTATTTTAAGCCACGAAACTGGTAAATAATTTATTATAGCAGCAATAGGAAACTAATGTAATGTCTTTATTAATTAACATTATGAATAGTTATTTATACTAGCTAAGAGATATTTAGAATTTATTATGTGTCACTTTATTACGGTCACTATAGTGATTCATCTGTTGCTCATAAAAACCCTACAAACATTAAACATATAGTATTGTTTTATGGCAATTATTATTTTAAGTAATGTTATCAATGTATGTTAGTGTTATCATTATTAAAATTATTGTTAAGGCATGGAAATTAAATACATTAAGGACAATACTACAGAAGGTGTTTTGAATTTAGACCCCACATCAATAATCATCTTGTGGTACCTTCTTATCTTGCTTAACGATATGATTTGGCTGTGTCCCCACACAAATCTCATCTTGAGTTGTAGCTCCCATAATCCCCCCATGAGGGAGGGACCTGGTGAGAGGTAATTGAATCATAGGGGTGGGTTTTCCTGTGTTGTTTTCATGATAGTGAATAAGTCTTATGAGATCTAATGGTTTTATAAAGGGCAATTCCCCTTCACATGCTCTCTTGCCTGCCACCATGTAAGATGTGCCTTTTTTCCTCCTTCACCTTCTGCCATGATTGTGAGGCCTCCCCACAATCAATTTTAATTATTTTAAGATAATTAAAATCAAAAGCATAGCTTCAAAACAATGTATAAGAATTCAGCACAAAGTAAATAGGTAAAGAAATTTCCAAAATGAAGTAGAGAAAATGTGGTAATGACTCTAGTGTATAAAGATCACCAACAGATTGTGGGGCCCAGGCAGGCAGATCACCTGAGTTTGGGAGTTCGAGATCAGCCTGACCAACATGGAGAAACCCCATCTTTACTAAAAATACAAAAGTATCTGGGCATGGTAGCACATTCCTGTAATCCTAGCTACTTGGGAGGGTGGAATCAGGAGAATCAATTGAACCCAGGAGGCAGAGGTTGCAGTGAGCCAAGATCGCACCATTGCACTGCAACCTGGGCAACAAGAGCAAAACTCTGTTTCAAAAAAAAAAAAAAATCACCAACAGAATAGAAAGTCCAAAAAATAGACTTTATAGGAATAAAACAGGGTAAAGATAGACTTCTTAGTAGGTTGGGACTACTGGATGGCCATTTAGGAAAAGATCAAGTTATCACCAGACCTCACACACAATACACTAAGATAAGAAAAAAGAACCACACCCAAATTGAAAAAAGATAAAATGTAAAAATATCAAAATGCATTGGAAGAAATCAAGGTTATGTTCTTCATAAACCTATAGAGGAGAGGGCCTTTCTAAATGTGACTCAAAACTCCCTCGAAATATCTCCTGATCCCCGTCAAGTCAGTTTCAGCACTATCTTTTGTTCCCTTTCAAAGCAATATTTTAGTAAGTTACATCCCATTCTCTCTGTTTTTCAAAAGTATTCAATGTGACACATACTGAAGAGTACAAAAAACATAAAATGTGCAATATTTAAATTTAAATAAATTACAAAATGAACGCACAAGTAACAACCCAGGTACACAAATTCAGCATTACTAAAACCCTAAATGTGTATATGACAACTTCTGACAACCCTGCTAGAGCCAACTAATATCACAACTTACACAACTATTTTCTAGGATTTTATTATAAATATGTTAGCTCCTAAGGTAAT